GTACTTTTTTTGTTTACATGACTCCACACACGTAAACTGTATGTGTATGTGACCAAGAACAGAACTGCTCTTAAAAGTTCCACAAATAATGACACAAAAGGACAAAGATGTCAGAACCTGGGTTTGACCAGCAGCAAAATAAACCAGACTTTGGTCAGTATCCATCTTTTGGGGGGAGGAAAGGGATTACAGGAGATTGCATTCAAGGATACTTTACCACTGAGCTACTTCCTTTTTATTTTTTATCTTGAGACAGGGTCTTGCTAAATTTCTGAGGCTGACCTTGAACTTGCCATCATCCTGCCTCAGCCTCCCAAGTCATTGAGATTATAGGCATGCATTTTTGTACCCAACTTGGCTAGTATCCAAATTCCACAGTCTCACAAGGGGAAAGCAGGTAATCTGTACAGTTTTAGACAATGGTAAGATGCCCAAGCAGGTAAATAATCCACATCAGGAAGCCTGGAACAGCAACAGAAACAGATCCTAACAAGTTGGTGGATTTTTTTCAGTGTAGAGTCTGGGAGCACACAATTAGTGGAGATCCAGAAAAAAAAAATCAGAGTCAAAAATCACAGAAGGCAACAAAGAAGATGCATCATAGGAAGACTCCTGCATCTTGACTCTAGGGGCATGCACTAGGCTGTAGGTAAGAGGAGAAAAAAAGCTTAGTCAGACAGAATATGAGTAATGAACCAGGTCAGTGCTTTAATAGCACTGGGTATACAACGAGCAAAGTCCTTACAGCAGAGTCGCTGAGCTACTGACCCACCACATTTCATATTTCCCTGTCACTGTGGAGACCATTGGTCTCAAAGGCGCTGTGAGCCAATGGTAATGCTGGAGGGGTAGTTGGCAGAATGCCCAGGAGGTCACTACATTGCCTCCTATAACCTAACCAGGCAAAAGGAATGCTAGTAGTAAGACTGCGGGCACGCCTAGTTCTCTCACACCCTCGACATCCTGTACTTAAGAGTCTCCTGCTCAATCACTGCCCCAAACTGAGCTCCAAGCACAAATATTCTCAGATCTACCGTAAACTAATGACAAACTGTCTTCTAGTATACTTTCAAATATTTGACCACTATATTAATTTTACAAGAACTAATAAAAGGAGCTTGACTAATAAAAGTAGAACAAAAACAAAAAAAGGACCTTTTAAAGTTTTATTTTATTTTTAATTGGTGGCGTTATAAATTAGAACAGCCGTTTTTTAAAATGGTGTGGAGTTTCCTCAAAACTAAAAACAGTTATTGTATGGTTCAGCAATTCCACTTCTGGTTATAAACCCAATGGATCTGAAAATAGTATGTCAGAGGTGTCTCTACTCCCATATTCAATACAGCATTTTTCACAATAGCCAAGATTTGGGAGGAACTGCCATTCCTAACTGAGGTGTTACACAATCTCAGTTAGTCTTACAGTGTAGCCATGAGGGAGATATTGTGAGTATCTGCCATTTAATATCTCAGAAAATTGAGGTTTGATTCATTTTCAAAATGTCCATAGTCACCAGGCCAGCAAGTTGTGAAGTCAGGATTCAAACGGAGTCCACTTTTTATTGAGGTCTAAGCTCTTCCCTGCTATGCTATGAAGCAGAATTAGAGGAGTATATTGGAATATAGAAAACACTGAGGCAAATATATTGCCTGCTAGGAAGTCAGAGCAAGACCTAGCCATGGAAGATGTAAAGTAAGGAGCAGAACTATAAATCTCGACACTTAAAAATCATGACATTTAACTTAAAACAATTCTGTCACTACTTCCTTATCATTCATTTAGTCTCTCCCCACTTCCCATAAATCCAGTGCTGTGTTTCATTAAGTACACCAACGACCTCTAGGTTTCTGACCCCTTTTCAGTTCTCATCTTACTTGATGCATAATAGGAGCTTGATAAATACCTATTGCACTCTACTAGACCTATGTGAGCCCTTGCTTGCCCTGTGCTACTGGAATACCTTTTTCCCCTCTCTTTCATCCCTAGTTGTCTGCCATTATCCAAATTAGTTCTAATACTTCTAAAATCTTGTACTTTTCCTACACCACAAAAGAAATTAATTATTTGTTTATGTCAATCTCAACACTTCATCCAAGACTATAAACACTGAACGTTCAAGTTTTGTTGTTATTGTTCATTGTTATTGTTTTAAGTGCTTTAATCACAAGGACTGGCACAGACTAGGGGCTTAATTTCTATCTGATGAATTAACAGTAAGCAGACCATTCCAAAATAAACAGGGGTAATCGTGTCGTAAAATCCTGATCTTTAAAGCATTTTTATTGATGCATGATAATTTTACATAATAATGGGATTCATTATGCCACATTCATACATGCATGAAACATAATTTGATCATCTCATTCCCTGGTACCTCCCCTTTAAGATCTTTTGATATTTCCTTTTCATTTTCTTCATTCATCAGTTCATCCATTCAGCAGACATTCATGGGCTGTATTATAGTATAGAGGTCAGGAGTATAGATGCAGAAAAAGGACTGCCTGAGCTGTCATACTGGCTCTGTCACTGGTTAGGTGTGCAGCATTGAGTGTGTTATTGAATTCCTGTGCCTCTATTTCTCCATTTTAAAACAGGGATAATTATGGTATCTACATTAAATGGTTGTACCTGGAAAATACTTAAATTAAACATCACCTGGTACACAATAGTACATAATAAATATTAGCTATAATCTTTATTTCTATTTATCAAGAACAATGATAAATACTAAGAATACATCAATAAGACTAAATGTTAAACTTCAAGAAACTCAAAAATCAAGAGATTTAAAATCTAAGGATTTCAGGTCTAGAGAGATTTTACAAAAATGAAGGCTTCTAATGAATACATTTCTTTTCTGTTATGTGAAGAAAATGAGCTTTATTTATATTTATGGAGCCATGTTATTAATAACAGTAAATGTAAAGATAATCAGTATGTCTGTGGTGTATATAATTTACCTACAAAGAAAATATATTCATACATTATTCTCCAGATGAGCAAGTCAAGCAGAAGCTATTACTCATATTTAAAATTAAAATGAACTACACAATTCAAGACATACCTCCTCCATAAGGATGCTGTAACCTTACTTTTCATGCTGCCTGATATACTTGCAATCTGGTGTCCTTTTTAGAATATAAAGGAAAGATGGAATATACTTAAATAGCATCCATAAAAGAACCAGGAGTAATCTCTGGCCAAGAATGAATAACTGGAACCTAATCATGAAAAAAAAACAGACAAACTGCAAGTAAAAAATGTTCTCTGTCCCAGTGGCTTGGGAGGCTGAGACAGGAGAACACGTGTTCAAAGCCAGCCTCAGCAACTTCAAGGTCCTAAGCAACTCAATGAGACCCTGTCTCTAAATAAAATACAAAATAGGGGTGGGAATGTGGCTCAGTGGTGGAATACCCCTGAGTTCAATCCCCAGTACAAAAAAAAAATGTTCTCTGGTGTATCCAAAGTGTGTAAGACAATATAGCATGTGCCTACCACATGGTGTGTGTTCATTTAGCATTTGTTGAATGAAATTATTATTAAATTAAATTAAGAAAAAAATTTAAAAAAAACAGCAAAACAGAGGAGGCCATGGTGTGGCAGAAATGCACAAGGTATTCACCAAATCTACCACCTCTTCTTCCTGGGCATTTAACTTGTTTTAGTAAGCATTTTTTGCCACTGTGACTAAAAGATCTGACCAAACAACTAGAAAGGAGGAAAAGTTTATTTGAGGCCTCATGGTTTCAGAAATCTCAGTCCACAGACAACCAGTGCCATCCCTCAGAGATTGAAGTGAGGCTGAACATCATGGCAGAAGAGTGTAGTGAGGGAAGCAGCTCACATGGTGATCAGAAGGCAGAGAGAGAGAGAGTTTCCACCTACCAGATACAAAATATATAACCCAAATCCATGCCCCCAATGTCCCATCTCCTTCAGCTACATCCTTCAGTTACCTTCATTTATCCAATAAATACCTGCCTTCAGTTATCACTCAGTTAATACCTATCCAGGGATTAATTCACAGATTGGGTTAAGGTTTTCACAACCCAATAATTTCTTCTTTGAACCTTCTAACATGAGAGGATACCTCACATCCAAACCATAACATAACTACACCACATTTCCCAGCCTGTCCTGCAGTTAGCTTGGCCAGACTAAGCTCTGAATGACAGAATGTGAGCACCAATGATAAGGACTACTGAGAGGCCTGCTCTCCACAAAGCCCCATGTAAAAGTTTCCATTTTCTGCCTTCATCGGAAGATAAATAAAGAAGACGCAGATGTGCAGAGGACAGGGTGGTGAAAGTCTTAAGTTATAAAGACCCTCTGTACCTGAGCAACCAGGATGAATGTCTCCCACATCAGAAATGCCACTATTGGACTTCCAATATTAATTGGGGAATTAACTTGGCTGTGGAAAGCTACTGTGGTTTGGCAGTTTGTTTATAGGAACAGATATCATTTCCTGGTTGTCTGCAGATAACAAACACTGGAGGTTCTTCTGCAGTGGAACCTTACCTATGAATGAATATAATAAAGTAGAATAGGGAAAAAAGACAAAGGCAGTTTCTCTAAAATCAGAACGGTTCATATTTAAGTTAGTTTGTTTAAAAAAGTAAGGAATGATTCTTTAAGTAAAATGAATCAAATTAAATTGATTTAAAGTGATTAAAACTTGTCAATAAAATACATTAACCAGGGCCAAGAGTGGTCAATTGGCAAAACTTATTTTCAACGTGACATTTGATCAAAATGAAAGAAAAAGTGAAAGAGAGAATCCAGTAAATAAACACCAAAATAAATTGTGCCAATGAATAACTATAGACGTTTCATTTAACTATGAGTCATGAGCACTTTACAATGTGTTACATATGTAATATATTTATTGAATTTCCTTCATTGTGAAGGATTCTCTATAAAACCTGTATTTATTAATTAACCATGCATATAAATATCTACATATATATTTATTATTGAGAAAGAATGTATCCATGTCAATACAACTTGTAAGATAAAACAGAAATAGTATATCAGATTTATTGATTAAAATTAATTACAAAATCTTCTAACTCCATTGTCAAACCTGTTATTTACAAGAATGTTTTCCAATGATTAAAACTGTTCATAAAGATTTAAAATTCAAATTTAAAAGTGAAGCTATTGATAAGCTACCAATGATAGGCCAATTACTTACAGTAAAACTATATCATTTTTAAATTATCAGTATCTGAATTTAGAAGGAGTCATTATCTCCTCACCATGCCAATAATTATGAAAGTCCAATTTAAGCAATACGGTAAATATTTAAAAATAGGAAACATGATAGTATTCCTTGTAAATAGCTACCTACACATGCCTACACAACAAATCCTATTTCCTACTGACAGAAATAAAAGTCCAAATCCTTGAGTCAAAAGTGCTCCAAATCCTTGAGGTTGTCTTGCTGTGGATCCTATGATAGTCTACTTACTTCTCTTGTTTTCTTTCTTTTCCATTTGTTCTTGTTTTGTTTCATTTTCCATTTGTTGTTTTTGTTGTTGTTGTTGTTGTTCCACATAAAGGCAGGTTTTCTATTCTAGTTTTTCAGTCAAGTACCTCTAATTGACAGCTTCATTTTTGACTCTTCAATTTGAGACTTTACTGTGAGTTATTGTTTTACCCAAATACTTCTCATGGCTGTTGACCTGCAAGTCTTGAGCCTCACTGGTAAACATGAGAACCAGTTTAGTGAAGAAATGAGATGGAAAGAATGAATGAGGGGAAACACTGATAATCAGGTATTGCAGTTGTGACAGAGGTGTGACATTAGTGGGCTAGGAGAAATATTTTTTGAGATTAAAATCTTTAATCAAATCTAAAATAGCTCTGAACATAGTTTCAACATCCTCTTGATCATCTCTCTCCTATGTCTGAGAGATAATGATTAAAACTGTTCATAATAGGAAGGGGATAGGAAAGGCAGCAGAATACAACAGACACTGGTATGGCAGTATGTATAAACATGGATGTGTAACCAATGTGATCCTGCAATCTGTACACGTGGTAAAAATGGGAGTTCATAACCCACTTGAATCAAATGTATGAAATATGTCAAGAGCATTGTAATGATTTGAGCAACCAATAAAAAAATAAAATAAAATACAATTGAAACTTAAAATGAAAATGTTTTTAAGCTATTAAGGACAGGCCAATTAGTTAGCTGGGAAAGGTGCTATAAAAGACAGGATACGCTATTTTTAAAACACTGCAAATTCTCCAAAATCCTGGCATACTATAAAGAAGCAAAAACGAAGATAGTAAGATTTGTTACATAGTGTGTCACATTTGCAGTATTTTTTGCTCAGATGAATAAAAGTAGGCATGTGGAGGACTAACAAAAAGACAACTATTTGTGAGGATGACCTTGACCTCACCACTTTAATTGCCCAGGAAATGTCCCCGTCCTCTCTGCCAGTACAGGATAGCTTTCCTGGAAGAGAAAGGATTTTTCTTGGGCTTGAGTAATGGTAGCAATTGTTCTTTTCTCTCTCTTAATTCCACAGTGTCACTCAAATTATATTTTTATATTATGTACAAGTACAAATATATAACCAACAAATCCTATCATTGTGTACAACTATAATGCACCAACTGAATATTTGTAAAATATAAATTAATTTAAATGAGGCCAATAGGATAGGCCCTAAAATGAAAGGAAAAAAAAACTTAGTTAATTCCAATAAAACTACATAGTCTATTCAAAGACAATATCTTTTTAAAAACTTTAAATAGTTGTTTATACATACAAAAATTAATTTTTTCTTAATCATATCAAGATTCTCTGTTAGTTTCAGACATAATTTCTAATACAAATAGTTGAAAACTTCTGTCTATAAGGGGAAACTTTCCACATGGGATTAAACAACACACGTAATTTAGACAGGATAGGATTAGCACAAAATAAATCTTCTTACTTTGTTTGGCAGTAATTCACTTTTATTTCAAAATTTGATAGTGGAGGAAAACAGATGTCTAGTGAGATTGTACTTTGTACAGGAAAACAAAAAGAATTTAATAAATGATGCTTAGCAAGGTACTACCAGTCAGCTCAACAGGAAAGGAAAAGCTCTCCTTTGCTTCCCCACCTAAATTTATTCTTTGTTTCTAGTGACCCCTAACATGAAGTTCTGTGCTAAAACACTTTATCTCCTGGGGGTCATGATATACTAGATTATAAAATATAGAGTCTATTCCAGTTGTTTAATGCCTTAAGAGGTCAGGCAGAAACCAGAAATGACTGGAATGGAGTGTGTACAGAGAATGCTGAGGACTGGTCAGCGGGAGAGTGAAGCGTCCCTTTGTGATGCCTTCAAAACAAACCAGCAAAACTTTCGGTGCCATGAGAAAGTCTAAAAAACAGGGGTGTAGACTGAGTATCAGTTTATATGCTCTGGTTGCATTTTTAGAACTCCATCTATTGAACTGAAATACATTCAAGATTTTCCTTCTTTCTCTTGACAAAATAAGAAACTAAAACTTAATTTTGCTTAGTAAGAGACAATTATTGAGAACAGTGTTTTGGTACTGTTTTGAATTTCTAATTCCTTCTCCAACCTAACTCAGTAGCTAGCTATGGTTTAGATATGAGTTATACCCCAGAAGCTCATGTGTGAGACAATGCAGGAAATTTCAGAGGTGAAATGATTATGGATCATGAGAGTTTTGACCTAATTGGTGCATTGATTCACTTGAATGGATTAACTGGATGATGACTATAGGCAGGTAAGGTGTAGCTAGAGGAAGTGGGTTATTAGGGACAAGCCTTCGGGGTTTATATGCTGTCTCTTGTCTGCAGTATCTCATTCTGCTTCCTGGTGTCATGTCCTCAGCCACTTTCCCATGTCAAGCTCTTCCACCATGATGATCTTTCCTCACCTCTGACTCAGAGCGATGGAGCCAGCGGTTCCTGGATTGAGACCTCTGAAACTATGAACACCAAATAAACTTTTCCTCCTCTAAAATTGTTCTTGTCAGGTCTTTTGGTCACAGCAATGAAAAAGCTGACTAAACACAAAGTCCTGAGCACATACTATGTTCAGTACCTGTATGAACTGATCTTTGAGTGATGTTGTTCTTGCCTCCTTTTTTAATCTTAGAGGGCTCACTCTTGATCCAAACCTATTCCTTCACTTATGGTTTCAACTCCACCTTCTTCATATATCTCCAGGGCCTTCTTCCCTTTTCCTTTTGTATCCCAGTCTCTCCCATTTCTATAGGCTTTTTTCCTTCAACCTATGCATGTTTTCAAGTTTCTCTCTTCAATGAGAAAAATTAAACCTTTCCTTGGCCTTGGTAGTTATTACTGCTTTCTTTTCTTCTCCATTAAAACTCTTGAAAGAGTCAACTATTTCTCCTTCCTCCTTTGGGGAATAGATGCTAAATGCCTACTATTTGCTTGGCCCTGTGCTAAGTGTCGATAGTATAGAACAGGAGCTTTGCTCACGGGCCTTTTCTTCTTGTTGTTGTTTTTCTAAACAAGAAGAGACAATTTAATGCTTTCCAAAGGGGCTGAGAGAACTGAGGACACGTTTCCCACACACTCTTACCTACCCTTCATTCCTCAGCTCGCTTCCATGACAGTCCTGTCACTTCAATTTGATAAAACTGTTATTACCTAAGCCACAAAATTTTTCACATACTTAACTCAATGAAAAAAATTTCAGCCTTTATCTTAGGAAGTTTCTCTGCTTCCTTTCACATTATTAACTTGTAAGCCCCTGTAAAAGCTAATTAAACCAATAGTATAAATTCAGAAAGTAAAAAGACACATGACAAGAAGTCTTGCTTCAAAATAATATTATGTATATGTACACACACATACCTATTGTCTAGATTTATATATTTGATATATATTAAGGGAGCACATATTCTCTTTGAATGTATTTGGGTAAAAGTTCATTATTACACTTCAAGTAGGGGACTGGATACAGAGAGAGCTTCAGGAAAAACCCTCTAGTGCTAGATTAAGGTGCAGAAAAGCAGATTCCAAACACTGAGAGAGTGGGGAAATCTCTTATTAATCTTTTTTTCTTTTTTCTATTTTCTTCAATTTCCTATACCTCAGACTCAAGACAATCCTGTGACTATGGTGACAGTTATATCAGGCACCAATAAGGAGGGTGACTTAGTCTATTCAGACTGCTATATAGAAAAAAAAATCTTACATTAGGTGGTGGGCAAATAGCAGAAATTATTTTTCATGGTTAGAGAGGCTGATAGGCTGATAGAGTGGTGCAAGATGAAGGAAGTAGAAGATTCACATTCAGTGAGGATCCGTTTCCTGTTCATAGATGGAATGACCTTCTCCCTGTGTTCTCACACAGTGGAAGGAATAAGGAATCTCTTGGGTCTCTTTTATAAGGGTACTAAACCCACTCATGAGGACTCTGCTTCCAAGACCTAATCACCTGCCTAAGGGCCCAGATCCCAGTATATTGACATTGCGGATGAGGTTTCAGAAAAAGAAGTTTTGTTATATACAAATATTCAGATAGTAGCAGTGGGGAAACTAGCCCTCTGATCAGATAGCCTTGGCTCAGAATTGTGGAATGCGTATCTGCTTTGCATTTTGGCAGGCTGGCTGGTTAAGTCTATCTCTAGGCAGTACTCTAGGAACTGCCAATAGAGTAGATCGTGGAGAGAGGAGATGAGGAAAATGACCGGATAGAGCTGTTTATGAACTTCTGCGCTTAACAAAAAGAAAGAAAATGGAAACAGAATCAAAATAGAAAATGAATAGATCAGATATAAAATAACAAAATGGTAGATGTGAACTCAAATATAAGTATAAATTGTCTAAAAACACAAATACAGATATAGAAATTTTCAGAGTCATAAAACAAAAACAAAAGTCCCAAACATACACTCTCTATATGAAACATTCTTTCAGTGTAATTACATAGGTACATTAAAAGCAAAAGAATAGAAAAAAATACAACATGCAACTACAAAAGAGTTCTAAAAAAAGATAAATTTGGAGGGGTGGACATAATCATTCAGTCCATGGCATATGTCAATAGCTACTCTATCCATAAATGGATTAAATTCTCCAATTGAGGACAAAATTTCCAGATTGGATAATAAAATAATACTCATTATTTAAAAAAAGAGTCCTAAATATGTATGTTAATGTTAAAAAAGGAGGCATATGAGTTAAGAAAATTACCAGAATAAGAATAAAATTACACAGTGATAAAGGGATAATTTTAACAAGAAAATATAACAAAAATACATGTATATGTACTTAGGCTAGATTTCCATCACTGTAACAAAATACCTGAGAAAATCAACTTAAAGGAAGAGAAGTTTATTTTGGCTTATGGTTTCAGAAGTTTCAATTTATGTTTGCCTGGTCCCATTGCTTTTTCACCTGTGTTGAAGCAGTATGTAATGTCAGAATCACATGGCAGAGGAAACATATTCATTTGATGGAAGCTGGAAAGCAAAAACAGAAAAAGAAAGTAAGGGCCAGGATCTTTCAAGGGTATGCTCCCAATGACCTAACTTCCTTCTACTAGACTCCACCCCTTAAAGGCTCCACCACCTCAGAATAGTGCTTCAGGCTGAGGACCAAACCATTAGCATATGAATCTTGAGGAACACACAAAATCCAAATTATAACTGTACTTAAGAACAGTGTTGCAAATACATGAAGCAAATAAATAAGAGAACTGGAAAAAAAATGGACAAGTGTGCAAAATAGTTGGAGACTACAACTCTCCTCCCTCAATAACCAATAGAAGTAGATAGAAAATGAACAAGGATATTGAAGAACTGAATAACACCACCAGCCAACTAAAATATTCTAGATTTTACATTCAGTAGGATATGCATTCTTCTCAAATGTACATGAAATTGTCACCAACATAGACCCTATTCTGAGTCATTAAATGTAAGTTTAAAATAATTAAAAGCATATAAAGTATGACCTTTGACAGTAAGAGAAATTCTAGGTCCAAAGGGTATAAAAAGATCATCTGAATTCCCAATAAACATAGTCTCTAATTAGGTACACATTTATTCATTAAATTCTCTAGCATATGTTTTCTGCTGTGCACAAAATACAACAAAATATGGAAAGTGCTATGACAAAAAAAATTTCTATAATTTATATGTGCTTTATATGTGGGAGATTATACAAAGACTTCACAGAAGAAGTCATATTTGATCTAGGCTTTCAGTAAAAGGAATGATAATTCTATTTAAAATAAGACACCAATGGAATTGTGTAGATTTTCTGATGCCTTAAATTAGAATTGTATATCAAAAAAAATTTCAAAAAATCATTTCAAATGTAGAACAACTTCCAAATCATTTGAAAAATGGCACAAGAGAGAAGAATGACTGAAAACAAGCAAATAAATTTGAAAACCATTGTGAATGTTTTGGCAAAAAAAAGCAGACTGAAAGACATACCAGTGTGACAGGAGTTTTATTAAGGAAGTTGGGGCCTAATCCCACATGGAGATTTAGTACTTTTTCTTCTATTAGATGCAGGGTCTCTGGTTGTATTTCTAGGTCCTTGATCCATTTTGAGTTGAGTTTTGTGCATGGTGAGAGATAGGGGTTTAATTTCATTTTGTTGCATATGGGTTTCTAGTTTTCCCAGCACCATTTGTTGAAGAGACTATCTTTTCTCCAATGCATGTTTTTGGCACCTTTGTCTAATATAAGATAATTGTAGTTTTGTGAGTTAGTCTCTGTGTCCTCTATTCTGTACCATTGGTCTACCAGTCTGTTTTGGTGCTAATACCATGCTGTTTTTTTACTCTTGCTCTGCAGTATAGTTTAATGTCTGGTACAGTGATGCCACCTGCTTCACTCTTTCTGCTAAGGATTGCTTTAGCTATTAAAATTAAAAATAAAATTAAAATCCTATTAAAAATAAGAGTATTTTTCCAGGTGAATTTCATTACTACTTTTTCTTTCTATGAGGAATGTCATTGGTATTTTAATTGGAATTGCATTAAACCTGTATAGTGCTTTTGGAAGTATGGTCATTTTGATAATATTAATTCTGTCCATCCAAGAACAAGGTAGATCTTTCCATCTTCTAAGGTCTTCTTTGATTTCTTTCTTTAGGGTTCTGTAATTTTCATTACATAGATCTTTCACTTCTTTCATTGATTCCCAAATATTTTATTTATTTATTTTTTGAGGCTACTGTAAATGGGCTAGTTTTCCTCATTTCCCTTTTCTAAGGATTTGTCATTAATATACAGAAATGCCTTTGAATTATGGTGTGGATTTTATATCCTGCTACTTTGCTGAATTAATTTACTAGTTGTAGAAGTTTTCTGGTGGAACTTCTAGGGTCCTCTAAGTATAGAATCATATCATCACCAAATAGTGCCAATTTGAGTTCTTCTTTTCCTGTGTGTATCCCTTTAATTTCTTCCATCTGTATAATTGCTCTGGCCAGTGTTTAGTGTTGGTGAGGATGTGGGGACAAAGGTACACTGGTACACTGCTTGTGAGACTGAAAATTGGTGCAGCCAATATGGAAAGCAGTATGGAGATTTCTTGGAAAATTGGGTATGAAACCACCATTTGACCCAGCTATCCCTCTCCTCAGTCTATACTCAAAGGACTTAAAAACAGCATAGTATAGGGACACAGCCACATCAATGTTTATAGCAGCACAATTTACAATAGATAAACTGTGGAACCAACTTAGATGTCCTTCAATAGATGAATGGATAAAAAAATGTGGCATATATACACAATGGAATATTACTCAGCAATAAAAGAGAATAAAATCATAGTATTTGCAGGTAAATGGATGGAGTTAGAGAAGATAATGCTAAGAGAAGTTAGTCAATCCCAAAAAACCAAATGCCAAATATTTTCTTTGATATAAGGAGGCTAATCCATAGTGAGATAGAGAGAGGGAGCATGGGAGGAATAAAAAATTCTAGATAAGGCAGAGGGGTTGGAGGGGAAGGGAAGGAGCCTGGGGTTATAAATTATGGTGTAATGTGATGATCATTATTATCCAAAGTACAGTTATGAAGAAATGAATTGGTGTGAATATACTGTGTATACAATCAGAGATATGAAAAATTGTGCTTTATAGGTGAAATAAGAACTATAATGCGGAACGCTCTCATATACAAATTAAAAAAAGAAAGACATACCAGTGTGAAAGAAAAAAATGATTTTTATCAGTTCAGGTATCCAAATAATAAACTGTGGATTCAAAGGAAAAAAGGACCACAAAAAGCAAGTCATGATAAAGGTAGGCATTTATATTAATTAATTTTGTACTTTATTTTATAAAGGAATATATCACAATTGGAGTTCAGCCAAGTGAGATAACATAAGCTGGTTAAATTGAGTATTATAATCAAGCATATAATGAAATTAATTGACATTCCTAATAATATGCTTAATGATTATACTAATATATGATAATAACTACAAATATTAATTATTAGTCATATATATGATTATTTACCAAATCCAAGACAATATTTCCAAATCCAGTTAATGAAAATCAATGGGAAAAGAGCCGAGTGAAAAAAAAAATATATAATTTCCCTGCTAAAAACTGTGCCAATTCAAACCTGATTTTCCACTTCTCTATTAGTAAGTATCCATAGACCTGGACTTCCAGGATCATCATCATCATCATCATCATCACCACCAGTTATTGTTATTATCAGTTAAAATATAATGAGCAATGTACTCATTTTCATGAGTTTCCATAACAAGATACACTGGAAAGGGTGGTAAAACAACAAATATTTATTTTTCTCACCGTTTTTGGAGGAAAGCCAAGATCAAGTTGCCAGAGTTGATTTCTTGATTTCTTATTGTGCCTCTCTCCCTGACTTACAAATGGCCATCTTCTTAATGTGTCCTCACAGCCTTTCCTCAATCATGGAGGGGCAGAGGGAAGAGGGGAGAGAGAGATAGAGGAGAAAGAGAGAGAGAGAGAGAGAGAGAGAGATGTTTCTTCTTCTAAGGAACCCAGTTCTATCAGATTGCCGCTCTGTTTGATCTAACCAACTCCTTAAACGCTTTATCTCCAAATACAGTCACATCAGGGGTGAGGGCTTCAACATATGAATCTGGGAAATACAGAATTCAGTTCATAATAAATATCTACCATATACTAGATATTATATTAAGATTAGTATCTCAAATTGTTCCTCTATCAATGTTACAAGATATTAGTTTATCTATTTTGTAAATAAGTAAACTGTAGTAAAGTGAGTTTAAATAACTAGTCCAGAGTCATGTAACAAGTAAAACAGAGAAAAGCTTGTAAAATAGGCTTCAAATTCCAATAAGAATTCTCTTACAGCTTACGAATCATTTTCTTACAGTTAAGCATCATTTCACTTCTCCAGGAAGACATATGGAAATAAGGAGAAAAAAGAAGAAAGTTCATTAAATTTAAAACAAAGGCAGAATGCAGAGAAAACACCTCCAAAGTAGAGATTTTGTGCAAATGTTGTGCAAAGGATCAGGGACACAGTGGGAAGCAGAGAGGGGTCCTGGAAGTTACCCAGTGATAGTAGAGCATAAAATCATCAAAAACACATGTTCTAAATTTAAGGAGGCTTTCCTTGTTTTGAAAGCAGGTTCTGTTCATTGGGGACAAGGGCAAAACAGAACCTTCAGAAGTTTAGATATAGCAGTAGAATCTCCACTGAGCCAGGTTGTATTCAAGGAGAGAGAGAGCTCTGTGACGCTATGTCTCTCCACTTCTTGAAGGGCAGGTTACCTTGGTTTTCCCTTGTTCCACAACATAAGTCTTTTGTGAAAAGTTGGCCCAGAAAAAGTTGGTTAAGTATAAGAAACAAAAAATGAAAAAAAAAAAACATGTACACAACAATTCTGTGTTTTAAAAATGGGAAAAGAGCAATAGAACATTCCTAGTTATTAAAAAAATCACCAAGAATTTGGGGGATAATGTTGGATGAAATATATTGTTATATATCATGTGCATGTACAAATATGCAACAAAATAAATTACATCATTTGTATAACTCTAATGTAACTATGGAAAGATGGGGGAAAAACTGGAAAGATCAATAATAACTCATGATTTCTTGTACCTTCATAAACAGAAAATTAGATCCTATAGTATATTATACATACATATCTAACAGAACTTACATGTATAACAGATTGTATACACACACACACAGACACATAGACAAGTTCACACATATTACTTAACTCTGTCTTTTGAAAAGACCTACAAGCAAATGAAACCCTGGTGGCAATGAACACATTGAGTGCCTAGGTTTAGGTTTCTAATTGCATTTTCCACTAAACTGATCAAGTGTCCTCAGAAAAAACTGGATGATTCAACAGTTGGGACAGGAAATGCAAAATGATCCTACTTGATATTGTTATAAAGTAAGAGTTTTTAAAAAATGACTGGAGCATGTTAAAACAACAAAAGAGGCAGTGTGAAGGGATTTCCACTGGCCAAATCTAGGTTAATTTGAGCACTGAATTAAAGACAGTTACTGAAAAATAAGAATTGAAAATTTGGGATGATAAGATTCGACAAATCAATCTTGATAATAGGGAAAGAAATAGAAGGACAGAAGGAAGGATGGAAGGAAGGAAGGAAGGAAGGAAGGAAGGAAGGAGAGAAAGGAGAAAGGAGGGGAACTTTTCATTATAGTAAGTTTTCTGATTGATAAAGGTGAAGAGATAATTGGAATAAGAAAGTAAAAAGTTTTCAACCATAAAAGTGAAGATTGAAAGGGGAAAATAGCAACTACACAGTAGACACATTGAACAATATACTTTGACCCAGTTTTGAACACATATCAGTTATGAGGAGCAGATTGGCTATATGCTTCCGAAAGTGATGCCTTCAGAAGAATATGATATGCAATGTTCAAACCAGGAATGGTTAACTTGAATCTAATCATAAGGAAACAGCAGACTATCCAAACATGAGGAGTGTTCTTTTTCTCAAAGGTCTAATATATTTTGTAGTGCCAAAGTCATAAAAGACTAAGAAGAGCCAAGGAAATATTCCAGATTAAAGGAGACTAAAGAGATATGTCAACTATATGTGATATATGATCCTTACCTGGAAGAGAAAAATGTTATAAGGAATATTACTTGGTCAATTGACAAAATTATAAATATGATAAAGTGTTGTGTCCATGTTAAATTTCCTGACATCAATAACCATATTCTATTAATGTAACCCAATATTCATTATCTTAAGAAATATAGTCATTAAGAATATGAACAATAATAAATGCTATAGAGGTTGTGGAGAAAAAGGAACACTTTTACACTGTTGGTGGGATTGTAAATCAGTACAATCACTAAGGAAGTCAGTGTGCAGATTCCTCAAAACACTATGCATGGAAACCCCACATGACCCAGCTCTACCATTCTTCGGTATTTCCCCTAAAGAATCAAAAGTCATTGTACTATAGTGATTCATGCCCACCTATGTTTGTAGCAGCACAATTCACAATATCAGAACTATGGAACTAGCCTAGGTGTCCATCAACAGATGAATGGATAAATAAAATGTGTGTGTGTGTGTGTGTAATTTATATACACTATATATATGTGTGTGTATGTGTATATATACATAGCCATAAAGAAAAATGAAATTATGTAATTTGCAGGAGAATGGATAGAAATAGAGGAACTATTATGTTAAGTGAAATAAGTCAGGCTCAAAAGGTTAAAGGAAGTATGCTTCTCTCATATGTTGAAGCTAGAGAGGAAAAAGGCAAAGGAAGGTGGGGTCAGGTCTCATGAAAATCAATCTCTGATCTCTTGGTCTGTAGAGGAAACAGACCAAGAGATCAGAGATAGAAATATAGTATAAATGGTGGGGGGACCTAATAAGCCTTATTTTATCTTTCATATAACTTTAAACTTATTGTAATTTCTTTTTAAAATTAAACTATACAATTGTTGTTTATCTGTTCAACCTTATAGAAATAATTTCTGGTATTTAGAGAAAAATATTTTATATAATGGGGTGTATGTTTTGTCCTTGATGAGATGAGAACTCCCTCTTTCTGCTTCCTGGTGACCATTTCCTCTCCCACAATCTTCCATCTTGATGTTCTGCCTCACCTCAGGCCCAGAGAAATGGAGTCAGCTGTCTGTGGACTGATACCTCTGAAATCATGATCAACAGATAAACTTACCTCCTTTAAAATTGCTTTTTAGGTCTTTTGGTCACTGTAGGAAAAAAAAATGCTGGCTAAAACACTCAGCAAATAAAAGAGTCAACTTGGGCTGGGATTGTAGCTTAGTGGTAGACACTTTCCTAACACTGGTTTTGATCCTCAGCATCTCCTAAAAAAAAAAAAATAAATAAAATAAAAGAATTGTTTCCATCTACAATTAAAAATATTTTTTAAAAGAGTGAACTATTGATATATGCTGAAACTCAATTATGCTGAATGAATGTCTTTAAAAGCATGTGATGAATTATACAAAATTATATCAAATAAAACCAAATGTAGAGCACTTTTAGCACCCAGATCTTCATTTTAAAACCATTTTTCTATAAAATAAATCAAACTTCTTTGGACAGAAGTCTGTATCTATTACTCAGGTAATGTGTTAATCAGCTTTCCATCAACTGTGACAAAATACTGAACCAATAAACTTAAAAGGAGAAAATGTTTATTTTGATTCATGGTTTCAGCTTAAGGTTAGTTGTCTTCATTGTCTTGGGGCCTGTGGCAAAGTAAAACATCATGGTGAAAAGCATGTGGCTGAGCAAAGATGTTCCACCTCATGGTGGTCAGGAAGCAAAGAGGGAAAAGAGGTGTCTTGGACTCCATTATCCCCTTCTAGGACATACACTTAAAGACCTACTACCACCAACTTGGCCCTACTTCCTATAGTTCCCACTACCTCTCAAAAGGATCATTAGCTGGAGAACAAGATTTACCATATGTACTTTTGAGGGACATTCAAGATTCAAACAATAACATTGACCCTATGACCCTCATAGTCTCACATTGATCCCAAAATGCAAAACTCATTCAACTATCTCCAGGATTTCCTATTCTCATAACAGTTCCAGTGTAGCTCAAAAATCCAAGTTCAAAATCTCTTCTGAGACTTACAGCATACTTTTAGCTGTGAGCCACCATAAAATAATACAGAGAGTTATAGTTTTCAAAGATACAATAAGGCAAGGTTAAACATTCCCATTTCAAAGGAGAGAAATAGCAAAACAAGAAAAAAAAAAAAAAAAACGGCTAAAGCAAGAACAAACCCCAGCAAAGCAAATATTAAACTCTGTAACTCCAATTCCCGTATCCAGGTCACACAGTGACATGATATGAACTCCAAAGGACTTGGGAAGCCCTCCTCATGGCCTTTCTAACTACAGACCTCCTGTCCTCTCTCTTGGGTTGGCTGTGCTTGCTGCCTGCCTTGGCAGGCAGTCCTCATTCCTGGCGTCTACAATTTCCTGGGGGTATTCATTATAGCTTTGGCTTTACTCCTACAGCTTCATAATTCACTGTGTCAGGGGATGCTTGCAGAGGTCCTGACCCTGCCACATACTGCCTGGCCTCCTACTTTACTTTGAAATATTGGTAGAGGCTTTCATGATCTCATAATTCTGTATACCTGCAAAAACAGCATCACACAGATGATGCCAAGGTCTGCCACCTGCTGGAGAAATAGTCAGGTCCACTTGCAGCATGACTGAAGCCACCTTTGAGTGCCTGTATGGCTGAACATAGGGGAAAGAATGCTGGGGAAACAATTCCCTATGTGGCCCTGCCTAAGCAGGGTGCTACCAAGTTCCCTTCTCAAAGCAAAGTCTTTGAAACAAGATTACACTTTTGTACCCTTGAGCCTGTAATGGGTGGAGTCTTGCTAATTCCTGAGATGCTCTCAAAGCATCTTTCCTATTGAACCAGTGAAAAATAGTTTCTGTTTAATAGCATTGATCTCTTCAGCAACCACACTCTCTTTGGCTGCAACTTTAAACATGCTCCTTTTCTGGCCAAACTGAAAGTTTTACAAATATTTTCATTCTACTATTTTTATTTATTTATTTTTATTTTATTTTTTACTTATTCTTACTGAATACTGCTAAATGCAGCCAGTAATAGTTCTGCCATTGTCTGCATCTGTGCTGCCTTGAAATGTCCTCCACTGGATTAATTAGTTTATCACTTTTAAACTCAAACTTCTACAAAGTCTCAGTATCAACAAAATATAGACAGGCTTTTTAAGCTCTGTCAGAATGTAACATGAATGGCCTCTACTAAAAATACCAATAGAATTCACATTTCCATCTGAAACCTTTCCATTCCTATCATCACACTTGTCTTCTGAATTTCCATCAGAATCACCCACTTAATTAAACTTCACTTACAGCATTATAACTTTTCTAGCTTGCTTCTCCAAACTTTTCCAAACTCCTCCCACAAACCAACTCCAAAATCTTCTGAACCATGGTATCAAGTATAGCCACAACAATGACCTCATTTTTCAGTACCAATTTTCTATATTGGTTAGCTTTCCATCACTGTGACAAAATGTCTAAGGTGATCAACTTTAAAGTTAGAATGATTCGTTTTGGCTTACAGTTTCAGAAGTTTCAGTTCATGCCTCCATTGTTCTGTGGCAAGGCAGAACATCATAGTGCAAAGCATGGAGCAGAGCAAAGCTACTCACTTCAGGACACCCAGGAAGAAAAGTGCACATCACTAATGACCTAGTTCCTCCCAATGGGCCCCACCTCCTGAAGTTTCCACCACCTCTCAAAAACACCACTGGGTGGGAATGAAGCCTTCAACACATGAACTTCTGGTAGACATTTAAGGTTCAAACCATTATAGATACAAATAAGAATTCCCAATATTCTAAGCTGGAACAATTTGAGCAACAAAATGAATCCATAGTGGCATAAGTAAAAGACTGAATAAAGCAGTAAACAGGGAGAAAACATAAATCTTTCCTGCAGAATTCCAAATAAGTCTTGTAGTTTACTCCACCCCAGAGGAAAAGGCTACCTACTCCCCCACACTCTTTTAAGTGATTCATTGTGACTTCCTTTAAAGAGTACAGTATGGAAGGAGAGAAAATTAATAACTGCTGTGGAGTAACCTGACAAACACTGCTTCAGCCCAGTGATTAAGATCAATACTGACAGTCATAGATCACATTGACGGGATATACCCATAATATGGTATAATGAATATGGCACTTAAACTTTTTTTATTTTCTTCTCCAAAACAAAGAACCACAGACTACTTACAGAGTCATTGTATAATACTTCTCAGGACTGTCAAGGTCATGAAATATAAGAAAAGTCCAAAAAAAAATTACAGCCAAAAAAAGGAGACTTGAGGACAATGAGATGTGATGTTCTGGATTGGATCCTGGAAAGGAAAATGGACATTAAATTAAAACTAAGGAAATCTGAATATCCTAGGGATGTAAATTAATTACAATTTACCAACATTAGTTTATTAATTATAACACATATGCTTTGTTAATACAGATGTCAATAACAGGAAACCCTATGAAGATATTTGGGCACCTGGTACTATCACTCAAATTTTTCAAAAAATCTAAAACTGTTCTAAAAGTTTATTAATAAAAAATCTGAAGTAAACACATCTTTAAGATGTGTTTAATATTATTTAAAATAATGTTTAGTAAATCAGATACGAATCTTTAAAACCTAATATATAGTAACAAAGCAGATTAGTGGTTGCTGGGGGAGTAACTGGGGTAGTAGAGAGAAGGGATGGAAAGAGCAGTATGACAGGATTGAAAAGTGGCATGGCCAAAAAGGCATGGTGGTGCACACCTGCGATCCCAGCCATTGCAGTCATCAGGAATCCCAGGGACTCAGGCAGCTGAGGCAGCAAGATCACAAGTTCCAGTTCTCCACAACATAGTGAGACCTGTTTCAAAAATAAATAAATAAATAAATAAGGCTAGGGATGTAGTTCTGTGTAGTAAAGCACCCTTGGGTTTAATCCCCAGTAGCACAAAATGAAAAGATAAACAAACAAATAGATAAATGGATAAATAAATAAAAAGTGACATGAGAACACTTTTGGAGGCAAAGGATATATTTGTTTTCCTGTTCATGCTGAGAATTTACATCTAAAACTTTAAAAATTATACAGTTTAAATGTATGTATCTTATCACATGACAATTAGGCCTTAATAAAACTCCCCTTTTAAAATTATAGGAAAAAATTCTTAAGTTTATATTTTCTTCTCCAAAACAAAAGTCATCCTCAGGAATATTTGGTGTTAGCCCCATATCACCTGAATCTAACTGATGGATTTTGTTTCATTCAAAGATTCATATACTTGTGGAGTTCCAATCACCCAGCACCAAATTTCATGGAGTAATGGTGTATTAGTACATGTTGGGAATCTTTATTATTGTTTTCCCACTTGAAGATTTTCGTTCTTATGGAAACAACCTAGTTAAACAGTATGCTTGAGAGAACTTTTTTGTAACCAACCAAAATTAATCCAAATATAGTTTGTCAGATTAAAAATGAGGCCAAGTATTAATTTTATGGCAGTAACCTGGAAACCAAGACCCAAGCCATCTGGCATTCAAAGTTACATTCATAAGAAGGCTGTCATTTGATTGCTTGGGTTCAAATCTGGCTCTGTTACTATTTTAATAATATTGAAAACTCTGTACCTCAATTTTCCCAATTATGTAATGGGATAGTAGTACCTATTTCCATGGGAAGTTGAAGGATTAAATAAGTTAACACATGTAAAGCGTTTAGAAGACAACATAGCAATTTTGTCTAGATTCTACTAATTCTACAGATTCTATGGCATTAGCTATCAAGGAAAAACAAACTAAAATCACAGTGTGATACCACTCCATGTACTGGCGGGGTTGCATAGGGATAATAAAGTGATGTGGAGCAGTTAAAATCCTCATAAACTGCAGGTGGAAATGTAAAATGTTTAGTACCTTTGAAAACAGTCTAGCAGTTCCTCAAAATGTTAAATGTAGGGTTATCATATAACCCAATTCATGTCCTAAGTATATAACCAAGAGAAATGAAAACAGGTTTGCACAAAAACTTATACATGACTTTTCATAACAGCATTTTTCATGATAACCAAGAAGTGAAAACAACTAAAAAGTCCAACAACTTAAAAATGGATAAATAAAATGTAGTATATCTACAAAATGGAATATCAATTGACAACAACCAAGTTATGAAGTACTAATACATGTACAATATGAATAAATCTTGAAAACATACTTAATTAAATAAATCAGTAAAAAATATCACATATGGAAGAATCTATTTGTATGAAATGTCCAAAATAGGCCAATCCATAGAGACAGAATGAAGATTAGTGGCTGCTAGGACATTTGGGGAGGCAGAATGTGGGGGTAACTACTAAAGAGTGAGATTACTTTTTAGGGTTATATAAGTGTTCTAAAACTGATGGTGGTAAAGAATATATTTGTTAAAACACTGAATTGTACACTCTAAGTAGGTGAACTGTATGGTATCTAAATTATATCTCAATAAAGCATGCCAATTATTTTAAGATGGCTTGGAATGAAGAAAGTCTGAAAAAAACCCAGGAGTGTTCATAATAATAAATTAGATCATCTCTCCAGCCTTATCTACTTCCTTCCCACACTTAATCCATGCTCTATCCATTATGGCCCTGTTACATTAGCTGTATTATAGTTTCCTATTTGGTGCCTTGTTAACATCTAGTATCTGCTTCCTGGACTTCTCTTTACCTAGATAATTTTTACTCATCTGAGTTAACTAATTTTTATTTAGAGTAACTAATCACGGGAACAATCAAGTCCAAAACCCAGTGGTTTTGATAAAGTTTTATTTATCGCTCAGGTAGCCCCTCCTCAAGTATTCTTACCTCTAGCACCTTCATTCATCTTGGAACCTGGGAGTCATCCACTGTATTCTCTATACCTAAGTGGGAAAAACTTTGAGAAATTAGCATAGCTAGCACCTCCACATTCTCAAAGAAAGTTTCCAAATGATTAACTGATTTGAACAGGATATATTTAAGGTGATGTCAGGATGTCTAATGACCTTGGGTTTACCAGATATTGTTGGTTTATGACTCTGTATCTGAAGTATATATTGCAATACACTCTCCTCTTTCTACAGCATCTTCATGAATTTAAAGGTGATATATTTTAGTATAGAGGTGATATATTTTATTATTTATTTATTTTTGTGGTACTATGATTGAACCAGGGAACTCTACCACTGAGCTATATTCTTATCCCTTTTTACATTTAGATAGGGTCTCACTAAGTTGTAGAGGCTGGCATCAAACTTGCAATCCACCTGCCTCATCCTCCAAAGTAGCTGGGATTATAGGCATGCACCACCCTGCCAGACAGAGATCTATTTTTAAAGTTTCAAAGATAATTATTTTTAAGAATAAGAATATTGAGGCAAGAAAGCACTGTTCACTATCTCTACCATAGATCTCATAATGTAGTAGAGGAGTATCAACTAAAACCAAGGAAAACTTTCCTTAAATTGATATTCATTAAAAACTGGAACACATTTCTTAGAACAACCCATATATGGCAATCAACATCTGAACTTCATGAACAGGTAGAGAAAAGTTACTAATTATCTTCCACTTCCAAATTATGTTAATTCTTTACAAAACTTGAAATCCTGAAATGGTCCTCAAAATTTTATTTCTAATAGACTATCCGTTTTTCCAATTACATTGGCATAATTTTTAATTGGTGATGCAAAAATCTAATATGCTTATGAAGTTCCATCCCAAAGCACCTGCTATTCACGGAGGAACTCAATCTAGTGGGTGTAAATACCAACTTCATAGTTTCAAATCTGGTAGGGAATTGGGTAGGGAGGGGCTTTGGGCGGGCTTCACTAGACCAAGGAGGCGTTGTTAGAAAGCCTTGGAGCCAGCCTACACCTGTCATTGGGTTAAAGCCTTGGTAGTAGTTGAGTGTGAGGATTCTGGTATGTGGATAGCATTAGCAATGAGAACTGGCTTCATTTGGCATTGAGTGGAATCTGCAACGAAAGGCGGCTCGTCCTCCCGCACCGCTGAGAACTGGGACAGCCTTTGAGAGGACAGTCGTCTGCAGTAGGGAACCGGCAGAAGCATGTCTGAGATGCGCTGTACTGAAAAGTCTGTGTATGTAGCCCTGGAGTTTTAGAGAGAAGGGCAGTACAACGCAATCAGGGATAGTTGAAAGACAGAATCTTGTGTAATTGAATTGCTTTCTCAGCTGCAGCCTCTCCAATGATGGACTTATGCGTTACTCTGCGTCTCCCGTCCACGAACAGAAGTCAGAGAACTCTCTTGGAAAACTCTCCCAACTAGGAGACAAACTACCTTTTCCTGCCCTCCTCACTTGCTGCAGGAACGAAACGACTGCCACCCTTCCTCTGACTGACCACAGGATGGAAGGCCAGGGCAGGAGCTGACCAGCGCCGCCCCTCCAGACTCAGGAGGTGGAGATCCCCCTCACCCCAATCCAGCCAAATTGACACCCATTTTCTCCTCCCTCTGCCCCTATATTACCGACACCCCCTCCTCTTTCCCCTTTCCCTCCTCCCTAAAGACAGGGGTGGAGAAAAGGGGAGTTCAGGTCGTCATGACTGAGCTGAAGGCAAAGAATCCCCGGGCTCCCCATGCAGCGGGCTGCGCGCCCTCGCCCACCGAGGTCCAGTCCCCCCTGCTGGGTCGTCCGGACGCTGGCCTGTTCCAGGGAACCCAGACCTCAGACACTTCGCCTGTAGTTTCGGCCATACCCATCTCCCTGGAAGGTCTGCTCTACCCTAGGTCGTGCCAGGGTCAGGATCCCCCAGACCGGAAGACGCTGGATCAGCAGTCGCCGTCAGAGGTGGAGGGCGCGTACTCGGGAGTTGAAGCCACAAGGGGTACAGGAAGCTGCAACTCTAGAGTCCCAGAAAAGGACAGCGGGCTGCTGGACAGTGTTTTGGACACGCTTCTGGCGCCCTCGGGGCCCGGGCAGAGCCAAGCCAGCCCTCCCACTTGCGAGGCCACCAGCCCTTGGTTTCTATTTGGCCCAGAACTCCCCGAGGACCCCCGTAGTGCCTCCGGTACAAAGGGGGTATTGGCCCCGCTCATGAGCCGGCCTGAGAGCAAGTCTGGAGACTGCTCCTCTGGGACAGGAACAGTCCAGAAGGTGCTGCCTAGGGGCCTGTCACCGTCCCGGCAGTTGCTGCTCCCGACCTCGGGAAGTCCCCATTGGCCCGGGACCTCAGTGAAGCCATCTTCGCAGCTAGCTGCTGCGGCGGAGGTGGTGGAGGAGGATGGCCCCGAGTCCGAGAGCTCCACCGGTCCACTTCTGAAGGGCAAACCTCGGGCTCTGGGAGGCACAGCGGCCGGAGGAGGAGTCGCACCCAGCGCGCCTGGAGCGGCTGCAGGAGGCGTCACCCTTGTTCCGAAGGAAGATTCCCGCTTTTCAGCGCCTAGAGTCGCCTTGGCAGAGCAAGATGCGCCGGTGACGCCCGGACGCTCCCCGCTGGCCACCACAGTGGTGGATTTTATCCACGTGCCTATCCTGCCCCTCAACCATGCCATCCTGGCCGCCCGAACCCGGCAGCTGCTGGAAGGGGAGAGTTACGACACCGGGGCCGCGGCTCCCAGTGCCTTTGCCCCGCCGCGGGACTCGCCCTCGGCCTCGTCCACTCCGGTTCCTTGCGGTGACTTCCCTGACTGCACATACCCGCCAGACTCCGAACCCAAAGATGACACATTCCCTCTCTATGGCGACTTCCAGCCTCCAGCCCTGAAGATCAAGGAGGAAGAGGAAGGCGCGGAGGCCGCCGTGCGCTCCCCGCGTCGGTACCTAGTGGCCAGTGCCAACTCTGCCACCTTTCCGGATTTCCCACTGGCGCCGCCGCCGCGAGCTCCCTCATCCAAACCCGGGGAAGCCACGGTGGTGAGCACATCCGCCAGTGCCACAGTCTCGTCCGCGTCCTCCTCGGGGTCTACCCTGGAGTGCATCCTGTATAAAGCAGAGGGCGCGCCGCCCCAGCAGGGCCCATTTGCTCCATTGCCCTGTAAGCCTCCAGCCGCTGGCGCCTGCCTACTCCCAAGAGAGGGCTTGCCCTCCACCTCCGCTTCTGCTACCGCCACCGGGCCGCCACCTGCGCTCTACCCTCCGCTGGGCCTCAACGGGCTGCCGCAGCTCGGCTACCAGACCACTGTGCTTAAGGAAGGCCTGCCGCAGGTCTACCCACCGTATCTCAACTACCTGAGGTGAGGACCTTGCTCTGGGTGCGCCTGGCATGTTCGCAAAGTAGCGCTCTTGGTGGCTTACCACTGCCAGCCTCCCTTCAGCAGCATAGGGCTCCCTTCCCCCTGGGTGGCCTCGAGGGGGTGGGCAACAGGGACCTGGCACAAGGGCAGTTTGTCTTACTCTTCTCATTACTCTTTTGGGGACACAAAAGGGCACAGAATATGCCATTTGGGGGGAAGAAGGACCATTACTGGCATTGTGTTTACTGGAGAAGAGCTAAGGCAGTTTCCCTGGGAGAGGTGGGACTTGAAGAGTGGCTGGCCAGAACCCAAAGCAGAAACACCTTAGGGATTTGTACACGTTAAAGGCTCAATTTTCATATGAATCTCAAAATGAAAATTAATTATAAGCGTAATGTTTTAATTGTGTATTTATATGTCAATCATTACAGTGCACAATTCTCTAATAGTGTTTCGGATTCTCTACTATGTTTTCAAGAACATTTTTATTTATATACTGAAGGAAGGTAAAAGAAAAAGAATCCTTGGTTTGTAGACTTTCCTGCTGCAAATAAGCAAAACAGTGTGAATATCTTGAACAATACTTGTGTCTATGTGTTTGCTGGCTCACACATGTATACACACACTTACAGAGTTAAGTTTTCAAAACTTTAAGCAGAAGCATCACTAAGTTCTGTTGAACACTTAAAGTCAAACATGTTTATTGTTACACAGCATACAGGAAGGGTATAACATTTTATTTTGTCAGAAACTGAATTGCTCCTTATATAGAAAAGGAGTTCTGTAGAAAGTTTTCTGTTTAACTAATAGAGTTTAGCTTTCCTAAACATAAATTGATACACTATCATTCTTTGAGGTTGGTACTACTGATGAATGGTCAATAATTTGCAAGTTTAGTGAATCTAATTATAGTGAATCTATTATATCATGTTTGGTTTGCATGTCTTTCAAGTGTGTATAATGGTGTTATATTTTAAAATCCCCTTTAACCTCATCAATACTGGTTTTAAAAAAATTAAGTATCAGATAGCAGTACAACAAAAAATAAATGGAGTATTTTGTTTTGCATTTCAAGGCCAGATTCAGAAGCAAGCCAGAGCCCACAGTACAACTTTGAATCACTACCTCAGAAGATTTGTTTAATCTGTGGGGATGAAGCATCAGGTTGCCATTATGGTGTCCTCACCTGTGGGAGCTGCAAGGTCTTCTTTAAAAGGGCAATGGAAGGTAGGCTTCTTTTTCCTGATTCTTTATTATTGACTTAATTGTCAATGGAGACCATCTTTGTAATTATCCCTTGCTTCTAAGAAATAGTGATATTTTTATATAACTTAAAATATATGATGATATTTCAATAATACATTTTTACTATAATACTCAGTAGTGAATGTGATTGGATATTATAATTTCATACTCTTTGATTAACACTTTCAATAGAAGACATGAGTCATCATAATCTTGAGGCCAGTGCTACTATTGTTCAATAGCTAGTTTTCAGGACAGCTTGGTTTTAATGGTGTTTTTAATACATCTACTGTATATGCAAAGCACTTTACAGTTTTTATTGACAATGGTTGTTGTTGAAATTATGTGTCTTTATATATGTGTGTATATTCAGGAATATATAGAATGTACATAATGCAATTCCAGATTAACACACATACATACATAGGTATACATACATATTGCATTTACAATCTGTCTACATGATGTTGTCCTTGTATTACATGCATATTTGTGTACTGTGTATTTATGCATGTTTACATGGTCATCCCAAATAAAATTCAGTTCCCTTTCTGTTTAGTATATGTTTAATTGTGTAAGAGCAAATTGTTTTGAACAAATGAAAATTTTGGACATCATTGTAATTTAATTTCTAAAGAAGTATTTTGCTTTTAGTAAAAGCTACCCATTTAAAAATTATTTAAATTACATATTTATCAAATGATTTTGGGTTGGCTTGAATAGTATATTTCAGACTTCATCTTTCATAGAAAACATTGTGAATTTCTCTTTCCACCTTCACTAAAATCTTTAGCAGCCAAACACATTCATGTTTGAAATAAAAATGTATTTAAAGATCATTCCGTGTTGTAATATATGGAATAAGTATAATTTATAACAAGTTGAGAGGACTACTAAGATCATATGAACAATGTACAATGAATCAAAGTTTGAATGTCTGCTCTTTTGTTTACGGTTTCTGAAGTTTTCTGATTTAAAAGGCTTTTATTTATAAGCAGAGGGGAGTAGAAAATTTTCACTTAAGGAGACTTTAAATGAAAATTTAAAGTTCTTCATAAAATTATTTACTTTGGTAATGCTCTATCCATGTACAAATATGCCACAATCAGTCATGTATGTCTATATGTGTCTGTGATTAAATGCAATAATAATAACGATAATAATAATAAAAGGGAGATCAGTAGAGTAGAGCAAGTACATCAGGGGAGGGAGAAGGGAAGGGAAAGGAAAGGTACTAGGGAATGAGACTGATCAAATGATATGCATGTACAAGTATGACATAATGAACCCTCCTATAAAATTAAAATTATGCACCAATTTAAAAAGTATTTGCTTTATATATTTTCAGAATATATTTTTCATAAAAGATGAGTGTATTTAACTGATATTGAACATAATCAGCTTCAGGATAGGTTAATTGCATTTTAAATTAATTGAGACACTGTTAAAAGAGGGTGCTTGAAAGCACAGGCAAGTGAGAGTAAACTTAACTCTCTCGTGTATATGATATAGTCAGTTTCAGATGCAAGTTCTTTGTATGGAAAAGTTCATTCTCTGGTTGAGCAACCGATTTACTATTCCTAACTGACTATGTATTGGTTGAATGAACATTCACTTGTAGATTATGATTTTTTTCATGCTTATAGTCTACTTAGAATAGTTTAATTTCATAATTGAATGACCTATTTAGGATTCTCCAAAGTCCAGTTTATTCTAGCCTACCTCCTGTTTATAGATAAGAAAATCTTAAAGACATAAATCTGAGATTTTGGAAATTTCACAACTAGTTAGTAGCTGCTTCTTAGTTTAAAAATAGGTAAAGCACTTGCCTTGCATATGTGAGGCACTGGGTTCCATTCTCAGCACCACATAATGATAAAGATACTGTGTGTTCACCTACAACTAAAAAAAAATTAAAAATAGGTTATTTTAAATTGCAGTGTCTATAAGTCAAAGATGCAAATAGATGGTATATGCTACTTAATTCTTGGAATTTACTTCATAAAGTTCATGTATAGAATGAAGAGAATCCTTCATTGGATTGAAGCACCCTTTTGGGGCCGTATTTAAATCATTCATCAGACTAGAGGAAAGTAATAATATTCTATAAGTAAATTGATTTACTTAGCAATTATTATAGGCCTAAGGGGTATATATTTAAAGGTATACTTAGATTTATGCCAAAGGTACTCTTTAACTCCCTCTTCCTTAGATATAATATGAAGATAACAATGGTGGATACTTTTTTAGGCTTGCTATAAATATTAAATGAGTTACTCCATATATGCTATTTAAAAGAATATCTAGCATGTTGTCAGCTTCTATTGGTGATGTTTCTACCTCCAATGAGTTTACAATAGAGTTCAGAAGGTAAAATATATGCATACGAGACATTTAAATTTTCTCATTAAATGCCCAGATAAGAGTTGAAGAGCCATATATTAGAGAATTGTATGAGTTAAAGGTTGGGAAGCTAAGTTGCTAATTGTTTGGATAAATTGGGAGAGATTTGGTGATTGAAGGCAAGGGAATAGAGAGAAGATTCTGGGATTTTTCAGGGATGACAAAGATGAGTAGAAGGGCTTTTACAGTTGGAAACAAATAGCAGGTTTGAAATCTTGAAGGAGACAGAGTTGTGTGATGGGCTGCTTAAAAGTTGAGCCCTGTGTGGATGCCAGAATGGCTAGAAGTTGTAAGTCAGTGGGCAACAATTTGCATAATTGTATTACCAAGGATAATAATGATAATACTGCAATTATAAAATATTTTCTATGTGCCCGTGACTGTTTAATAGGTTTCAACTCATTTAATCCTAATAGTATGTATTGCTATTATTATTCCTCCCACTTTACTAATAAGGACACTACACTGCCTTAATCACAAGAAGTGATAGAATCAGGCTTCAAACCCAGGTGGTGTGACTCCAGATCTTTGCCGGCAATCACTATGCTTCCTCTCTCATAATAGGAAATGTGGTTGATGTTTGCCAAGAGATGAAACATTCAGAGAGATAAAAGTGAATCCTGAAGAATGCAATACCAGGGATAATTAGATCTGTGTGATACAAAGAGTGGATCACATTTACTTCATATTTAGGGCAGCAATGATAAGATAGTCAGGGAACCAGAGCCAGTTTCCCCACCTCTCTTTAAAGTCAGGAGTGGGAGCTGAGAGAGACTCACCCAGGAAAGCTGAGTTTAACTTGCTATGTATGACACCAAGAAGAGAGAAGAAATAGAGAAAAGGTACCAGTCAGAAAAAGGGATATAGGCATGGGGAAAATGACCACTCTTATGCAAACTAAGTCTATTTAAAATATATTAGCCAAAACACAATTGTTGAAGAGTCAATTACATTCCTTCACCAAGACTTGTAGGCGGGAAAGTGGTCAAGAATTATTCAGTGCCTTTCAAAGAAATGAAGTATAGTTCTATAAATGCCAGCTAGTGACCTGGTACTATGAAGTAAAGAACTTGTGCACTGCAACCAGCTTAGTACCAGGAAAATACTAGGTATTCTAAAAATAACTGTTTTTCTACATGAAGCCATCATCCTAACTGATAATGACATGCTCTTATTATTTGGATACTATACTCTGTAACAGTATTTGTAGTGAATATATTTGAAGTAAAATGGTTATACAAATGTTGTAATATAGTTGAAATGTATTATTTAGCACACACAAGGCTATGTAGGCATCGATGGACCTTTCATTGTATTGAAATATTATCCTTATTCTTTATTCATGTATTAATTATTCACTAATTAGTTACCTTAATCACATTAGTTTGAGTATTCATTTATGGAGCATCCACAGTGTCCAGGCACAATGCTAGGTGCTGATCAAAGAAAAATAAAACAGTGTGGACTGTTCAGCACTGTCTGGCCCCTGCTCCAGCAGAGTTTGGAGAGTGGAAGGGGAGAGGGGCCTTTTGACAATCTGAATACACATACCTAATTGCAGGTATGGGAAGGGTTAGGGTCTGTGTGGTTCTTGGACAACTAGAAAGTTGATCTCCTCTCAGAAACTGGGGATAATTTAGAAAGTCTTTAGAATGAGAGAGACATCATCATAAACAGCCACAGATGAAACTGGACAGAAATGAAATACTTTTAAGGATGTGGTTTTTCTTATACTATAGTTGAATATATTTGGTGTCATAAGTGAAGAGTGAAAACAGATTTAGTAGCATAATTCTCCTTGATATGGCTTTAGAAAGAAAAATGTTAAACATTCAAATTTTCATTAACATGTGATTTTTTTCTCTTTAGAATTCTTAAATGCTTTTCAATATTTTATAATCTACAAAATGATCCAATAATCCTTTCCACTATAATTTACTTGATTAGTATTTATAGTCTTGAGAAGGTATTTTGCCAATCATCTTATTTAATTAAAACTCTAGTAGAACTTATTCTTTGAAAGTTTTCCCATTGCCCTAAAAATAAACATATAGTAATTCTCTAAAATTCATTTCAAAACTTGCTAGCCAATTTCTTCTCAAACTGCAAGTCTCTCAGTTTAATATTTAACATGAATAAATAATTATACATTATAACCCGCTGAAGCAAGCTTCTGTTATACTGAAAAAGTAGTAGTTACAAACAGAACATTTGGCACCATCTGTTCAATATTTGATTATATAGGGTTCCCAAATTATTTATTCTCCTTAAGAACTTGTATATTAACATCCTGCAAGAACCAGAGGGATATAGTGGTAGCAGACATCCATGCTAATGCTAATAGCTGTTCTTGTTCTGGTCGTTGAGTCCCTTTAATTTATCAAGTAACACAGCAGTATATTCTTCTTTAAAAAATTAAAACATTACCAATAAGGCTATGTCCTCTTTGATCAATTCCACTAGTGTTTTCCCTTCCCTATGATTCTTATCTACCTTCACGTCTCTTTTCATGTGTGTATATAATGTGTTGTTTTAGGTGTGTTACGACATATCACATAATGTATGTCCTATTCTTCCCA